CATTTATATATATCATAATTTATCAATCATTCATCATCTTCACATCTCAATTCACAATTACATCAATCCATCACATGCAATCCACATAAATCTTACAATTAAGACTATGTCAAGACCACGCCACAACTGACACAAGTGATCCGGGTTAATTGCCTCACTCATCCCACACCATGCCAGGGGCACGCTCGTCCTTGTAGCATCACTTACTCAAGGTTCGTCTCATCCCTGGTCATTAGTGAGAGGAACCACAATCACATTACAATCCACACAAGCCTTGCAATTAACCCTATGTCAGGGCTGCCATATTTGACATAAGTGATGCGTGCTAATTGCCTCACTCATCTACACCATCCCAGGGGCACGCTCGTCCTTGAAGCATCACTACTCAAGGTTCGTCTCATCCCTGGTCATATGTGTGAGGAAGCACAATCACAATCATTATCAAAGCCACACATGTCATATCATATCTCAATTCCATATTACATACACAAAAGATAAGTCCAAAATAATGGGTTTCATACACCTCAGGCAATTTACATCTAAATAATCAATTTTTATCAAGCAATATAGCAATAACATTCATAAATTGATATAACAATTAATGGAATTATCAATTTAATATAATCTTAACATAAACAGTAAAACCCCCAATTATTCCAAAACCTAACTCACAGACACTTTTCTACGGTTTCGTTCTCCCTCTCAGATCATCATTCTTACAAATTAAATATATATTTCTAATCCTCAATACATACAGAATCTAATGGGATCATCAATTTCTTAAACAGAAATAATCTAGTTTTTCCAAAACCTAACTAACAGACACTTTTCTATAATTTCGTTCACTCTCCCAGAGCATCATTTTTACAAATTAATCATATATTCGTAGTCCTAAATATATACAGAATCACATAAGAACAATAATTCTCCAAACAGAATTAATTATAAAATTACTCATAATCCTAAGGGTTCTTCCTCTATCCAATTCCCTCATGTAACTCTACATATAAATAATCTCTTTTTTCCCTCGTACCTGGATATGTAGAAGCTGAACCTACACAAGATCTGGTTGGTCTCCCTCGCTGGGTTCCCCTCAGTCTAAAGCAAAAAGTAGAGAGAGCAGAAGAAAAGAAATTAGAAAATGAGAGGTGTGCTTTTTTTGGGAGTGGCAGAGAGCTCAATTTATAGGTATTAGGCTTCGCCGGAACGGCCCGTTCTGGACCCTTAAATCATGGGTAAAAATCACACCCAGAACGGCCCGTTCTCAAACCAGAATGGCCTGTTCTGGTGTGCATTTATTACTCACAACGGCCATAGCCCGTTCCAAACCCGTTCCTACTTAGAGTTAAAGGCAATTTTTAATAGTCTGGAACGACCCGTTCCAACTTGAGAACGGCCCGTTCTGGGCTACTAACTCACATACATTTTGGTAGTTTGGAACGACCCGTTCCAATTCTAGAATAGCTCGTTCCAAGCTACTAAATCACCCCTACACTTTTATAAAATTACCAAAATACCCTCAATTAAAATAAAATAAAAAATAAAATAAAAACTGGGGTGTTACAAAGTAAGCTTGTGAGGAACCCTCCAGGTGTTGCAACAGTCATCTTTATCCAAGCTATTATATAAAAAACTTCAAGAACAGAAAAAAGAATGATGGATTATGAGAGAGAGAATATCTTACACAAATATTTATTCATTCTTTTTGTAAGGAACTTTATGCTTAATTAGTTGTATCATGTTTTATCTTTAATACAAAACAACACTTGTAAACTTTACCTAAATATAGCTATTGTTATAGGGTTAAGCCTAGAGAGGTTTGTTTATAAAAGAATACTTGTTTGAGCCTGGAAAGGCTTGTTTGTAAAAGTATACTCATTAGAACCTAAAGGGACTTGACTGTAAAAGAATACTTGGTGTTCAAGCCTAAAGAAGCTTTGTGTTCAAAGAATACTTGGATAAATTGCATGGAGAGACAATTAAAGAACACTTAGGTTTGAGCCAAAAATGACTTGTTGAAAGAAAACTTGTATCTTTTTAAAGATAGTGGAACTCAATATGGTTGGATTGAGAACTAGATGTAGTTTCGGTGGTTGAGATGAACCAGTATAAAAATTACCATGCATTTCATTTGTCTCTTCTACTGCACTCTTTACTGTTAGTGCTACTACTTCACTACTTGAAAATGTGCGAGTTTTTTATAGTTACTATTCAACCTCCCTTTTAGTTGTATCTTTTCTCCACAATAGTCATGAAGAATGAAAAATAAATATAGAACGGAGAAAAAGATAAAAAAAATCGTATTATAAAAATAAATTAGAAACTCAAATTTTATTGCAATTCATAGAATCTCAAATTGATTGAATGAATTAGCCATGCAACTCCATCGAGTTGCTGCAATCATTTCATGTTAAAATATAGAGAGAAAATTCTAAGAGAGAGAGAGAGAGAATTTAGAAAAACTTGTAGAGAAAATAACTCTAAAATTTGAAAAATGAGTGTAAAGTATAAAACGTACATAAAAAGTATGACAATACCTATTAATAGACCAAGATAGTGGGTCTAATCGGAATATTTACAAAGCTTGGCCCACTAATCAACTAATTAACAAGGCTAAACTACTAATACAATAAGTTCCTAAAGCAAACCCAAAATGAACTGTAGAAACGTAATATTGAGGCACACTTTTGGACCGAAATGGGTGAAACTTCCAATAAAAAAGTTGTAGATCTTTATCTTAGCTTTCCAAGGACACCAAGAACGTCTAATTCCAAGTTTGGAAGCTCTAGATATGGCCTACACAAGATAGCATGTCAAAATGGATAGAAATTATGAAATTAACTAGAACTTAGAATTGAAACTAAAATAGTCCAGTAAAACAAATGTAAATCAATTCATCAATTTAAGACACTTATAAATGTCAAATAAGTTCAATCCAATATACTAAAATATGTATTAATTATGTATTATCAAGGTGAACCAATATAAAGATATGTGTACAATCTCTCTTACTCTATCTCTTTACTTGTTTTATTTACCTTACTACAACTTTTATTCTATTGTTGCATAATCTACTATGAAAACAAGTTAGCTCAAAAAATATTTTCAAAAAAGAATTCTAAGTTTAAATACTTAGAAGCTTACTCTCGGAAGAACAAAATTTTATAAAACTAATTTTTAAAGAACAAAATAATTCAATCTCTCTTCTTGTAACCTAACATTGACTTCACTATTAGCACTCCTCATGAAACAAAATATAAAAATAGTGAGTATAAAGACTAAAATGTAAAACACAACACATTTTAGAGCCACATCAATGTCACACATCATCTACAATGAATGGTGTTATAACTTTTTCTAATAGCAAGGGAACAAAAGAAACTACGAGTGTGTTTCACAAGATATTTGTGAAACTTGTAAGTGCCTTTGACTAGCTTATAAGTTAGTTTGATCAAAATAAACTTGTTTGGTACAAGAGGTTATAACTTATTCTTATAAATTAATTGAAGTAGCTTATAATTTATAAGCTTTCATCTTTTTTCTCCTTCTTTTTTATCCTTTATATTTTATTTGAATTTTCTCTTTTATCCTTTTGATTTTGAAATCTTTTAATGTATCCTTTCATTCTCACACTTTTATTATAAAAATAAATAATATATCATTTTATATCAATTAGCTAATTTATTAGTTAACCTTACCAAACACTTTCAATTCATCACTTAACTTGTAAACTTTCATTTTTCCAACTCCTAATTAACTTATAAACTAATTTTGTCAAACATACTCTAAAAGTGCTTTTATTTGAAGTAAAAATAATAATTGAGTAAATCGTCAATTTGATCCCAAGAATTGTCATTGCTCTTATTTTAATATATGAATTTAACGAAATTAAAAAAAAATTGCCAAAATTTTGAAGTGTAGCGAGTAAAAAGCAAAGCTTGTGTCATTTTATATCAATTAGCTAATTTTCAAAAGATCATTTCTCAACACATGCCAAGGCATTCTACTTGGCAGCAACTTATTCTCACTACTAGAAATATAGCATTTTCCTACAAAATTTTATGCAAAAAAATATTCGCATAAAATTGCTACGAAAATTTCTACCAAAAATAAATTTCCAAGAAATTGTTACGATTATTTTTGTGATTTTAAGTTCGCAGAAAATTCTTATAAAATTTGCTACCAAAATTATTAATTTTATGAATTTTTTTAAACATAAAAAATTATCGAAAACATAGAAAGAAATTAATTAAAATTTTATTTAGAATATAAATTTGCAAGAAATGTTAAATTTTTTAGTAATATCAAAATATGTTTTTCTGTAATTAATTTTTCTTATAAATTATATTAGCAGGAAAATATATTTAATTTAATTTATTTATTTATATTTTTTTTATTAATTTAAAAACAAAAAATTTAAAATTCAAATCGCACAACAAAACCCACACACAGCCTATGAAATCCACGAGAAATCCACCTCACAGAACCGTACCCAACGCTTATGAATGTACCGTACCCACCGCTAAAAACATGAGAAATCCACCGCACCGCACTGCGTAGCATAGAGAAACTCATTCTTCTTTCACCTTTTAAGATCGTTCCTCCGTCGCATCGCCTCAGTGACTTCATAGGTAAAGAAGAAGACAAACTCTCCTTTTGTTTTGTTTCTCGTTTTCCTAATTTTTCTTTCTACTAGGGTTTATATATTTTCTTTTACCAAGATTTTGGCTGTTCTAATCTGTGTAGTGTAATTGATTTTTTACTTTACTAATTTTCAAGTCAAGGAATGTTTTGAATGAGCATGCAGTTGATAATTCAAATTAAGGAGATTGATTCTACGGTTAATGAGTAGTATTTCTCTCATGCAGTTTCTTCTTCTCTTTTTTCTTTTTCTTTTTTCTACAGTTGAAAATCATTCTACAGTTGAAAAATTGTGCGCGCTCTATAAAGGTACATGTACTGCAGTTTGCTTATATGCATATATGTTCTCCTCTTCTGTAGATTTTGCATGTTTATTCACTTCTATGACATCGATTTCAGCTTTCCAATCTGTAAACAGTGACACATAATGTTTGATTACTAGTTTCCTACAGCTGAATAATAGATGTAATTATTTTTGAGCTTGTTTCAAATTAATGTTTCATCAGATATTACTTGTAATTGGCGAAGCTTTTTCCATACCATTTTTGAATTCCTGCAAGAAACTTATAATTATAAGTGATGACAATCACTTATAATTAATTTTAATTATAAGTGTGGTATTAATTTTAATCCAATCTGTACATGGAATGGATGACTCAACAATCAAATCTGCATAATATGTTGGCTCTTGATCACTGTTTCTTTATTTAGGTCGATAATTATGAACCAATGAAATGTTCTTATGATAGCTTTGAAACTTTATAGGATAGTACGCCTACGTGAAAATTTATCCCACCTCCCACTTTTTCTTATATCAAAACCTTGTATCTCATCTCTGCCACCAAATCTTAATCATTAACCTTTTTAGGAGTTACAGGTTATGATATTGACAATTGCAATTATAATTTTGACAACATCACAAGTAGAGTCACTGACCTCACTCTCCCATGTTCTACAACTCTTCCTACTTATATTGACCAAGAAGATAAGTCACACTGCCTCACAGGTTCCATCTACCTATCCTTCTTGTTGGTGGAATTAAAATTTCTAGATTACTTGAATTTGAGGAATAATGACTTCTTAGCTATCCAATTTAATTATTCTATGCATAGTTGGGATTGTCATAATAACTTATCTCTAGCTACTCCTCCTCCTCAGTGTCTAAACTCTTCAACTATTCGACATCTTGATTTATCAGAAAACCGGAATCTTGTCATCAATAGTCTCCAATGGCTTTCCCGCATTTCCTCCTTGGAATATCTCAACCTCGCGGCGATTGATCTTCACAAAGAAGCTAACTGGCTTCAATTAGTGACTACCCTTCCCTCACTTTCAGTGCTTTATATGGTTGACTGTCAACTTAAAGACTTGAGTCCATCTGTTCAATATGCAAATTTTACTGCACTCAAATATCTTGCTCTGGCTCACAATGAATTTCCCTCAGAATTGCCTAAATTTTAAAGCTACACTTCATTTTTTAGTATATTTGTGGAAGAAAGAGAGGATAAAGGAAAAAAAATAGAGAAACTAATATAAATAAATATTAAAAGTAAATTATAATATATGAATATATATAATAACTTGATCTTGATGATAAAAGGGGTAACTTACACAGTAACTGCATGTCCACCAAAGATGTACAGTATATTGGTGGCTCCGGTGAAGTACAGCACTAGCTTTGTTGGACCCGTGTGTGTCACATTTTCTGCCTGCCATAACATTTAAACATAATAAAAAAAAAATTACTTATCTTAGCATATAATGATGTTTTGTGATGTGACACTTATTCTTTCACTTCTTTAGGCTCCTCAGAAATTTAAAAGGTTAAGCAATAAAAACTTGAAAACTTCTAAATTAATTGATTGATTATATGTTTCATAAAATTAACTTATAAACTTAAATCCTATAAGTTAAATATTTAATAAATATAAAATAAGATAAAAGAATCATATTTAGTTATTTAAAATAAAAAGAAATTTAAAATGAATTAATAAGAATAAAAATAGACATCAAATGGGATAGTTATTGATTGAGGTCTTAAAAACTTGAAAGTTATTGATTGAGGTCTATCTCTGCATAAATTTAGGAGTTATATTGTATGAGATTGTATGCTTAGTTGCTTTTAATTATTATTATTTTTAGATATAAACATAATGATTTTTCCAATCGAACTTTTAAAACATAGTTTTTCTTTTAATTTAATTACTTTTAATGTATGCTTAGTCCATGTGGGATAGTTTGGGATTATTTTTTGTCTTGTGTTAATTTAAATTGAGATTTTGTTGTTTGATTCATGTCAATTTGTAGCCGAGCTGAAAATGTATAAACAACGATCATGGATGTATAATAGGCTTCTTCCTGGTCGAAGGGGATATACAATTGAATTTTTAAATGGCCTCGAGGAGTTTATAACTTTTGCTTGTCGACAAAATAATTATTCAAGTGAAGGAAAAATAAGGTGTCCATGTAAGCTATGTAAAAATGAGGCATTTTTAACCCCAGATGAAGTAAATGTTCACATTCTTAAAAAAGGATTTACCCCTGAATATTGGTATTGGACATCCCATGGAGAGAGAATACCTCGTATAGACATTGATGTTGATATGCATTCAGTTCCTTGTAGTAGTCAACAATGGGGTCATGAAGATGTTAATAGACATCGCAATATGGTTTTTGATGCTGCAGGCCTTAATCATGAGCAACAAAATGAAGAGGAGCCTCCAAACATGGAAGCTTCCAAATTTTATGAAATGTTGAATTCAGCTCAACAACCATTGTGGCCAGGATGTAAAAGTACATCAGAGTTGTCTGTTGCTCTTACAATGTTGAGTTTAAAATCTAAACACAACATGTCTCAGGCTTGTTTCAATGATGTAATGAAGTTTATGAAAGAGTCGAGTCACCCAGAGAATGTCATTCCTTCTAATTTTAGGGAAACAAAGAAACTTGTAGCAGGACTCGGTTTATCAAGTATAAAAATAGATTGTTGCATTGATGGTTGTATGTTGTATTACAAAGGTGACAGTACCTTAATAGAATGCAAATTTTGCCAAAAGCCTCGATATAAAGAACCCCGTGCATATAAGAAGAACTCTAAATATGTTCCTTACAAGAGATTGCATTACTTGCCATTGATCCCTAGACTACAAAGACTATATGCTTCTGTGAGATCAGCAAAACACATGAGGTGGCACTATGAAAATCGTAGGGAAGAAGGTGTGTTGTGTCATCCTTCAGATGGGAAAGCTTGGAAACACTTTGATCAACTATATCCTGAATTTGCCTCAGAACCCCGAAATGTTAGACTTGGCCTGTGTGCTGATGGATTCACTCCTTTTAACCAATCGGGAAAAACATATTCTTGTTGGCCAATAATTGTCACACCATATAACCTTCCTCCAGAGCTATGTATGATGACACCTTATATGTTTTTGACTTTGATCATTCCAGGTCCACATAATCCAAAAGGTAAAATTGATGTGTTTTTGCAGCCATTGATAGATGAATTGCAACAATTATGGAATGATGGTGTAATAACATATGATGCTTCAAGAAAGCAAAATTTTAAATTGAGAGCTGCACTGATGTGGACAATAAATGATTTTCCAGCCTATGGGATGTTGTCTGGGTGGAGTACTGCTGGAAAATTTGCATGTCCAATATGCATGAAAAAGACAAAAGCTTTCAGACTGGATAATGGAAATAAAATATCTTGGTTTGATTGTCATCGTCAGTTTTTACCTCATAATCATGCTTTTAGGAGAAATAAGGATGCATTTTACAAAAATAGGATTGAGAAAGATGATCCACCTTCTAGGTTAAGTGGCGAACAAGTGTGGCAAATGGTTTATGGCATCCCTAAAACAACTGAAGTAAGGATATGCAATGTTCCAGGTCATGGAAGATCCCATAATTGGACCAAAAGAAGCATATTTTGGGATTTGCCATATTGGAAACACAATTTATTAAGACATAATCTTGATGTTATGCATATAGAAAAAAATGTCTTTGAAAATGTGTTTCATACTGTTATGGACACCAAAGAGAAAACTAAAGATAATGAAAATGCACGGTTGGACTTACCAGAGCATTGTCATAGAAAGGAGTTATTTTTGAAAATAAATTCTAATGGGAACTATATAAAGCCTAAAGCCAAATTTTGTTTATCAAAGGAGCAAAAGAATGACGTGTGTGAATGGGTGAAGAGGTTGAAAATGCCTGATGGTTATGCTTCCAATATTGCTAGATGTGTGGATACAAATTCTACAAAATTTTTTGGGATGAAAAGTCATGATTGTCACATATTTATGGAATGTCTACTTCCAATAGCTTTGAGAGCTCTTCCTGAACCAATATGGAAGCCTTTAACAGAAGTCAGCCAATTCTTTAGAGACTTGTGTTCAACAATATTACATGAAGATCATTTATTGCAAATGGAACAAAATATTCCTGTAATATTGTGCAAGTTAGAGCGTATATTTCCGCCTGCATTCTTTGACTCTATGGAGCACCTACCAATTCATTTGCCTTGTGAAGCTATGTTGGGGGGACCAGTTCAATATCGTTGGATGTATCCATTTGAAAGGTAATAGTGTTTTGTATCTTGATATACTAATATCATTTTATGATGTACCTAATAATTGGTGTTACATCTTTTGTACTTAGGTTTTTAAATAAAATAAAAAAAACTGTGAAGAATAAGAAAAACGTGGAAGGGTCTATATGTGAAGCATATTTGGTGCAAGAGACATCCTATTTCAGTTCTCATTACTTTTTATCTCCTATTGGTGTGATTGAGGGAATTCAACAAGACCACATACAACCAATGTTGTCTATTTTTAAACCTTTTGGACAAACAGCGGGTAAACATAAGGAAAGATGGCTCAATGATCAAGAGTTGTTGGCTGCACAATTGCATGTTCTCTTGAATTGTAATGAGGTTAAACCGTTCATTGAGTGAGTATCAAACACTACTTATATGTCAATCAATTTTTCTACCAATAGTCATCTAATTTAAATAAATATCTTGTGTAGTATATATGTACAAAGATTGAAAGGTATGTATGGAAATCTGAGTGATGATATCATTGATAAACAAATAGAAGCTGATTTTCCACGGTGGTTTCAAGAATATGTAAGAATTTCTTTTAAAAATAAATTAAGTATTATCATTTTATTTATGTTATTCATTTATAATTTTTATCATGTGAATAGGTAAGACAAAACCACCAACTTAGGTTACAAAATCCAAACTTGTATGATTTGGCAAGGGGCCCATTGCGACTAGCAAAGTCATGGCCAATTTATTTTGTGAATGGATACAAATTTCACACAAAAGCTCGAGGCGAAGGCAAAACAACATATAATAGTGGGATATGTGTTAGTGGAATTGGACATGATGAAGCTTCTAATGATTATTATGGTGTTCTTATAGATATTTTAGAATTAGAATGGCCGAGTCAAGCAACAAAAACTCTAGTATTATTCTATTGTGATTGGTTTGATCCTTCAAATCGTGGAATGAGGACACATAAGCAATACAAGATTGTAGAAGTAAAAAAAGGGAGAAAATATGGGAAATTTGATCCCTTTATTTTTCCCAAAGCTGCAACTCAAGTGTACTATTTGCCTTATCCTGGGCGACAAAAAGATAAGGTTGATTGGTTGGTAGTAATCAAGACAAAGCCTAGGAAAGTTGTTGATAATAGACATACTTTGGAAGTTGTTTATCAAGTGCACGAGTCACAAGTTAGTGCAATAATTGAGGATGACCCAATTGATCACCTACAAGATGATGAGATTGGTGGTGAAGAAGTTCATTTGAAAGAAAGCAATTTCATTGGCAATGGCGAAGAGAATGCTTTCATTGATGATGAAGATGTGGAAGAAGAATATGAAGAAGAAGAAGAAGAAGAAGAAGAAGAAGAAGAAGAAGAAGAAGAAGAAGAAGAAGAAGAAGAAGAAGAAGAAGAAGAAGAAGATGATGATGATGATGATGATGATGAGAATGATAATTAAACGGAAAAGTCATTTCTTTAAATATTGTGTATTTTTCATGATTACTGCTATCATTTATAAATTTTAATGATATTTTATCTTATTTCTGATTATGATACCTAATAAATAGATGTCAGATTCTAAAAGATTTATGCAACAACCAAGGAAGTTGAAAGGAAAGAAAAGTGCACCTCAGTCTTATGCTAATATTCCATTCATAATTCCGTCAGCTAGCCTCCAAGCTTATGCTAACCAATCCTCTCAATCTCAACCTTTGCCTCTACCTCCACGTCCACGTCCACGTACACGTCCACCTCCACCTCAACCACCACCTCCACCTCAACCACCACCTCCACCTCAACCTCCACCTCCACCTCCACCTCCACCTCCACCTCCACCTCCACCTCAACCACTACCTCTATATCGACCTCCACCTCCACCTCGGTCTACCCAATCCCAATCTATTCCTATTCAAGCCATTCATATGCATGAATACCCTGTTGTCAATGAAGTTCCATCTTCATCATCTAGCCATGTTAGTGGAGACAGTAACAGGAACAAAATTTCAATACTCCCAGAAGGGGATGGGTAAGTCATGTTATTTACTTAGAATTTTAAATGAATTTTTAGCATTTATTTTTAAATTACTCATACCTTTTTGGTATTTTACATAGGTTTGACAAACACAAATTGGTTGTTGGGACAATTGCTTCAATTGTGCGTAGTAACTTGGAGGAGGCAAAACCATCATGGAAGAAATTATCTATAGGACAAAGAGATTCGTGGTTTGATATATTTAAAGTAAGTATATCTTAACCTTTGATTAAAAATGTTATTATTTATAATTGAATTTTGAAAATGTGTTTTAAAATCATGTAGTCAAAATTTTCTTGGCCACCTCAATATAACGACATTGTGCGGCGCAATTTTGAGAGAAGGGGTGTTGCCAAAATGTGTCAATTAATGCAAGAAGCTCGAAAAGATTTGAATCAAAAACCAATTTGGATGGGAGATAGTGTGTGGTCACAATTGAAGGCACATTGGGAGTCCCCAAGTTTCAAGAAAAAATGTGAAACAAACAAAAGAAATCGTGAGTCTTTAGATGGTGCATCTTTGCATACGGGTGGCTCAATTCCTCATCGTTTGCATTGGAAGAGAAAATTCAAATTGACGGATAATCATAAAAATATTCTATACGTTGATTTGAATTAATAAAATAAAATATTAAATAATTTTCAAATTTTTAAAAAATTTGCAAACATAATATAAACATTAAACACTTTTAAATTAATGATTAGATCATTAAAATTTAATGTAATGGCCTTATATATTTTTATATGAATAATTAAAATTATGAAATGATAAATATATCTCTCCCAAAGTAAATCAGGGCACTTACGAAATTGAAATGGAAACCAAGCCTATAAATAGCGCATTGAACCTCAACGAAAATTTGAAAAAAAAAAGAAACATTGTAACAGCCTCGGTGAGAAAAGAGAGAAAGAAAGAGAGCGAAGTAAAAAAATTTCTTTGACGCAACTACTTCTTGATAAGTTTACATTCCAAGGTAAGGGGGAGGAGAACTTTATCTCTTTAAAAAATTTATTTACTACTATGTTTATTTATTTATGTTATTTTCCATGTGTATTTATCTAGTGAGGTGTCCCTAACCTCATTTATTTGCTTAACCTACGATTATTGTTATCCATAATAATTATTAATATGTTCATATTTTATATTGTTTAATTATTTTATAATGATTATCATTGTCATTTAATTAATTGGTGCTCTTAATATATTTTATTTACGTATATGTTATTTAATTAAAGCTTAAATAATGATAAATTCTCAAATTTATTTAGCGTGATTATTTTTATGATTGATTATAATATAATTTTGTTAAATTGTCTTTGACTCGTTTTAAAGATAAATATTATTCTATGGCCATAGAAGATAAAATTTGAATTATTTGTAGCTGGAGGTTTGACCTTGGGGATTTAAATGAGTAAGAAATGAAGGTAAAATATCCTATTGTTGGTTAAGGTAAAATATCCTTTTATTGGTTGATATTATGATAATGTTCATTTATATTGACTACAAGTATAATTCAAATTTTAATGTTAATCATCATTAATATATTTTTAGTATTAATTATTGCTACGCATGTTATGTGATTATAAATATTTATTTGAAAACTGTTCTCACTCCTTATATTTCTTGTGTAATATAATCATAAAAATAATTAAATAAATAGAGATGGATGTTCTAGCAATTCCAGCTCCTTTTCCTTCAGTAATTTCTGTAGTATTTTATGGGACTACATAGAGTGTTGATGCGGTAGCAAACACAGTCACATTTAATGGAGTGGCGGTGTCGAGTTTTACCTTCTCTCCAAACCAAGAAGTCCCTACAGTGATCGACGGTCCCATATTAGTTACTTTCTTTTTACCGCCCGCTAACCATGTGAACCCAATTATAAATTTGTTTCAACCACCCATGTAAATATTATAATAGAAGTAGAAAAAGAAACTAGGTTATGTAAATAGGCACGTATTGTAAATGTTTCCAATAATATGTAATATATATGTAAAAGTAAGCAACTATGCACGTAATGATAAATATTTATGGTACGGTATGATATATAATATTATTACTATACATGTGTTTTCTAGCTAGAAATATTATTTATATATATACGTATATTACTGTGATTAATATTAATAGGACTAGACGTTACATTTTAATGGTATCAGAGCAACGTTCTATGTGTAACTTGGGGAAATGTGCTAACCATGTTTCTAGTATAATAAACTAATCTATAAAAATTTCAGATGACAGGAAGGAGAAATACAGAACTGACTGAGGCTGTGCAAGCTATTAGGGACATGGCTGCCGCCTTGTTAAGGAATCAACGACCGGAAGGAATGGGGGAGTCACAAGGATTAGTGGAATTTAGGAGAGATAAACCTTCTCAATTTGACGAAGGATATAATCCTGAAAAGGCTAAATTATGGATTAAAGAAATAGAAAAGATATTCCGATCTATGAACTGTCTTGATAACCAAAAAGTAAATTATGCAGTGTTTATGTTAGTAGGAGAAGTATAATATTGGTGGGATAGTACTAGGAGACTATTAGAAGGAGGAGGAATAATTATTACATGGGAAGTATTCAGAGCTAAATTTTTTAAAAAATATTTTCCTAATGATGTTATGAGGGCTAAAGAAATAGAATTTATGCAATTAAAACAAGGGAACATGACAGTGGGAGAATATGCTTCTAAGTTTGAGGAATTGGAAAAATATTCTACTTTCTTTTATCACCCTGATGAGAGAATGAAGTGTATTAAATTTACAAATTAAAATATTAAATAATTTTCAAATTTTTAAAAAATTTGCAAACCTAATATAAACATTAAAAACTTTTAAATTAATGATTAGATCATTAAAATTTAATATAAAATATGAGTTATTAAACGAAATAAATCTTGATAAATTTATATATGTTTCCTATGTATGATTTACAAAATATTTTAATTTGACCGCTTCCACCGCTTCCACAGTCCTCATCTTTCTGCAAAAATTTTTTAAAAAAAGAAAGAAAATTACCTGCAAACTTACCTACAGAAAGAAAATTTGTAGGAAAAGTTATTGTAAAATTTCCTGGGAAAATAATTTGTAGAAAAATTACCTGCAAATTTATTTACCAAAATAATGTATTTACCTGTGAATTTTCTGATGAAAAAAATTGCAAGAAATTTCCTGCGAAAAATTTCTACAGGAAAATCTGCAGGAATTTCTTACAATTTTTTTTTTCCGCGGAGAGTAATTTTCTACCAAGGATTTACCTGCAGCTAAATTTTTGTAAAAAATTCTGCATGAAACATGTTTCCTGCAGATTTTTATAAAATTTTCGCAGGAAAATTTGCATGAAATTTAATAATTTGTAGTAGTGTCTATCAAAATCTATGTTTCACCAAAATTCAAAACTTTGCGGTAAGTTTCACAAGGTCTTTCATCTTTTATCATCTTACCATTATTATTATTATTATTAATTATATTATTGATACAAATATTTATTATTAACTTTCTCAAATGACGTTGGAAAGAATCAGTTGGTCCTTTTCAATAGTTTTCTTTCATGATTTTTTAATACAAAAAGTCTCAAACCAGGAAACTTGCTTCAGATTCTAATATCACTTCTACATCAATTTGGAATGAATGTTCTATATTAAATGAAACAAAATAAATATGTTTAAACAATATTTATTACGAACAAACAACTCTACAAACCCTAAACCTCTTCGCAACATGCAAGTTACTTGTATTACACTATGACTAGAAACACCAAACTTTCAATAACAAAAAACCTCCCATGAATATCCACATTGTGTGATCCTGTAGAGATTAATCACAGTTTTTATAATGAATATTCAATAATAATATTAGGGATGGCAATGGAGCCTCATGGGGGTGGGTAATAGTAAACTCACCTTCACCCCGCTGAATGAAAATTGGCTCCATACCTACCCCATATCTACGTGGGTATCCATTAAGTGGGTATCCATGAATTTCTTGAATACTTACGGATATCCATGGATATTTATAAATTTTTTAAGAAATTAAAAAAAATTATATTACAAATAATTTTAAGTTTATATTTAATGTCATTGAAATATTAAAAATAAAAATTCAATGTTAATTTTAAACTTGTATTTGACGTTAATTTTGTTGAAATAATAATAAAAATGCAAGATAATCAATAACTTAAAATACACTAATCTCACAAATAAGTTAATGTCTCATCACAAAGCTACAATAATTCAATCTAATAATTCCAAACCAAAGTAAATAACTTAAAATACATAAATTTTATTGGTCCAATCAAAGCTAGAAAACTAATCAAATTAAATCCAACATAATTATATAACATACTTAACACATGTTGGTAACTTCATCAACCTCACTTTTGTAAGAAAATAATATGAGAAAGTGTAGTTTTAGAGTTATGTGATATAAGGATAATTAGGATATTTAAGAAATATTATTAAACAGGTACCCGCGGGTATGGATATCATCATACTCGCCCCCGCCCCATTTATAAACGGATAAAAAATTATCTATCCCCATTATCCGTAGGTACCCAAGTAACCTATCCATTTATTATCCGTAGCAAATTTTACCCATAAATACTCGCGGGTGCGGGTAATTTTTCCTTCCCTAAATAATATCATAATTATTAAAAAAAAAAAAAAAAAAAAAAACTACCATGCACCTATCGAATTTTCTCCTGAACTCTGTCACGCCTTTCTCTAAAGACTTGAATCCAGAGATTGGAAACCCACATAAGACTACCCGCAATGGCGAAGGACACAACAAGGACCCATGAAACCCAAACCCACGTGGCAATAACGCCATGGGCACCTCCCATTGAATAAAACCGCACCATTCTTAAAACAACGCAAGGCCCAAGGACACCGCGAACCACCGTGTACAAGCAGTAAAACGGCACCGTCACAGCGCGGGAGAGCGCCTGGGCCCGGCCAGCGCGGGCCAGGGCCCAGGCGTTCTGCATGGCGCTGGTGGCCTCGGCCAGGGCGAGGAGCGCGAGGACGCCCACGGCGCCGTGGGCCGCCACGTGGCGGCACGTGAGGATGACGAAGAGCGTGGCCAGGTGGTGGAGGACGAAGGTGAGCTCGAAGAAGGCGGCCAGGTGGAGGAGGTCGGCGGCGAAGTAGGCGGCGCTGAAGTCCAGGACGAGGGACTGGAAGGCGGTGTTGGGCGCGGCCAGGGAGGCGCTGGGGGCGGAGAGGATGGCGGCGGCGGCCAGGAGGACGGCGGGGGTGCCGTGGAGGAGGGAGATGAGGCAGCTGGAGGCTTCGGGTCGGGTCTCGGGGCTCCATTTGCGGAAGACGATGAAGTAGCCGAAGAGGTAAAGGGAAAGGAATAAGGGGAGGAATGTGAAGACGTGGCTTTGCATTTTGGTTTGTTTGGATTTGGGAATTAGGAGAGTGGAAATATAAAAGGATGGAAAAAGAAGAGAGGATGATTGATGAAGGGTTTTTGTTGGGTTGGTTGGTAGGAACTGAGACGAAGTGATACTCCGCTTGGTGCTGGTGTTGTTCAACGGATCCAAGACTTGAGCCACACCACAGCACAGTTTTCAAATTTTGATTTATAAATGTGTGGGATAGCTATTCAATAACTTTCAATTTTTTATGCACAATTTCTTTTTTTACATTATTATTTTATTAAAATTGTTTTAGTTATAGAGTTAATCATCTTTATACTGTCAGTGTAAAAAATACTAATCATACTTTTTAAAATTATTTATTTTATTATTATTTTATTAAATAAGCAACTGAGATGTCATTATTAAAAAATATAATTGGTTGTTAGTGTAAAAAATCTTTACACTAATAATATATAAGTGATTAACTCTTAGATATAATAGTTAAAATAATTATTAACATAATCATAATTTTAATATACGTATTAAATTTATCAATCTACGTCATAAAGAAGTTACGTCTTTTTAATGTAACATTTTGTTTACCATTTTATCTCTTTTGAAATGTGATTTTAGGTTTCACCGGCTGATATCTTATCAATATAAACACCAACCATATATAATTCTTCGTCTAATAATGATAAGCAGTTACTTTTTTTTATCTTAACATTATATCTTTATACTTTTAGTTATTTATTATTTATCTTTAATTTTAATTATTTTATATTTTATCTTTTATTTATATAAAACATAGTAATATAAGATGTTTTGACTCTACTAATTTATTAATAAAGATAATACATCCTTTTAGTTTACACATTTTATTAATTATTTTTTTCCTTGATTTCAAAAGCATTTTTAGTCTCTCGTACTTTTTTATTTAATTTTTCTCTATCTTTTGCAAATTTATTTTTAAGCTTTTCACAACCTTAAACCTTAAAATAACTTTTGTAAACATTTAAAAAATACATGAGACATAAAATACTCTTTTTATGCTAGTATATATAATGATTGTATATTTCACAACATAAATATTTATTATATATAACTAGTCATAAAAAAGAGTTTTTAGTTTGCGTGAAAAAATAAATATTTTTTAAAAAATATAATTGAGTAATTATTGTCTTTAAAAATAAGGGAGTTATTATTTTTTAAAATGTAATTTTTTTTATATACATTATTTTCCAATTTTATCCATAAATATATATTGGAGGATGAAAATTATAATGCACTATAAAAGCATAATTGTTTTTGAAAAAATGCACACTAAAAGGCAATATCCCTTATACATTGTTATAGATATATATTGTAGATATCTAAATTTTATAATAAATTATATATATAACTAATTAATATATTTGAATATATAAATTATATTTAAAATTTATAGAAATAGATATTTTAAATATATAAATTATATTTAAAATTTAAGATAAATATTTTATATTATGAAGGTTATTTTTCATTATTGATAATTTATTTTAAAAATATATTGTTGCTCCATGGTTTGCTTCACATTTTCCAAAATTTATAAAACTATACTATACTTAATAAAAATGTTAAAATTTGAAAATAGATAATTATAAATTATACACTGAGTGTGTAATTTTATTTTACTTTATTTTTATTATCACTACAACAAAAATTGTTTTTAACGACAATTGTTTAATGGCAATAATTTAATTGCCGCTATTTAATTATATAATAAAAATATTAATGGCTAATATATAATAGCCACTAAAAGTGTATTTATATTACACTAAAGTTTATTATTAGCGACAATTATTTATTAAAAAAAACTAGTCCCACATCGATTAGAGATAAGATAATTAAATAGTATATAAGTGAGTAATAACTATCACCTTATAAGTTGATTTATATGGTTGAATTAGACTCTTAATTCACTATAATAAATTAGTATCAAATCACCCACTATTACCAAGTTCAATAGTGCTATAAAACAATTAGAGAGCAACTTTCACCTTATAAATCTCACATCGCTTAAAAGATAACATAATTAAAAAAATAAATTAAAAAATATATAAATAGAAGACAACCTTCATCTTACAAATCTCACATCGACTAGAGATAAAAATAAAAATAAAAAGTATATAAGTTATGAATTTAGAAAAGAAAATTATAGGAATAAATTATTTAAAGTTTTACTAGAAAAAGATAAAAGTCACTAAATAGATGGAAAGAAGACAATTCAAAAATAACTTTTAATAGCCTTTAAAATGGCTACTAGAATTGCCACTAAAAAAAAATAAGTTTTCCCGACAATTTAGTAGGTCTTTACCAGCATTTTATATAAATGCCGGTAATAGTATTAGCGACACTGGATACACCAGTCATTATTTAAATGTTGGTAAAAAAAATAATGACCATTTATATGGTCGCTAAAGAATAAATTAATTGCCACAAAAACCTAATTTTGTTGTAGTGTCCATTTCTCTTCTGTCATTCGTTGATCTCTAGGCATAGATAATTGCCCCAAGTGTCAATTAATCTTGTTTCTTTCTCATTGGTCTAGCACAGTTGTGTTTTGGAACAGCTTGTGTCTCACATTTGATAATGACGTATAATTAATTCAATTGCGCCCTAAAATGCTGCCATGGAATAGCAATAATAAATCACGGTGAGTTAGATCTGGAAAATTATAATTAATTTAATTATTTGTTACAATCTTATAAATCAGAATAGGTAATTTAGATGTGAGATTTTTATTTTTTCTTCTTTCAATTTTTATATTTTCTCTCATATTTAGTAGTCTTCTCACATACTATACTAATAACTAGTTAAATAATACCGAAATTTAATTTTAGTTTGACACACTTGTATTCTTTAAATAAGGATTATGATTGAATTCTTATTTTAAATATAGAATCACAATTGATTATAAATGGTTTGACCCGGTGAAAGGAAGATAAACCTCCTAATTATTCATAAAAAAATTTAGTTAAATAGTTTCTTTCTAAACTTTTTTTTGGTATCTATCTTTAAATTGAATTTTAATATATTTTTAAAATAAAATAATGTCATAATTTATATTTATATATTAAACAAATTTAAATTTAAAGTAATAAAAAATATTTATTGTGTACAATGTTTAAATTAAATACTAGTTTTCTGTATTTTTTTTTATCACAGATATTCTCTTTCGATGATATAATTTTATTTGAGACATAGTCATATGTTAAGAATATCATAATTTCCTAACAAAAATTCAAGTCTTGATTCATTGTAGAGGATTAGTTCTTTTTACCAGACCATGTTGTATTTCTTAATGTTTGTTTCCAATGGGTTGCAAGAAAATAAGTACAAACAACCATGTGAGTCCGTAATAAATACTCTAAATAACCATTATATATAACTTGTCATTGTGAAATGGAACCAAGCATACTAGAAAATCCTGGAATTAAATTTCAGAAATCTTATGACCGTTTAATTTTTATAGAAGCGTTAGGAAATACACTCTCACTCCTTTTTTTTTAGCACATTCTCTTTCTTCTATTACAGATGAGATTTATTAAAAATTATAAAATTTTGTAAGTATCATGTCCGGTTTAATTAATCTCTTTTATAATTTTATAATTCTTAATAAGTTTTTTTATCAACAAGAGATGTTTTAAGAAAAATGTATTAGAGAATATATTTTTAACCAAAATAAATCTCTGCCAAGTGAGGGGGAAAAAAACTCCAGACCTTCATGTGTTAAGATACACCGTTTATTTTGTTAAATCTCACCTTTATTATCAAAATATATTATATCAATAAAAACTATTAAAGCTAGTGATTGCAAATAATTCATTTTCCCATTGTTTCATTTTGTTATACATTTAAAGTTTAAGTCATTATAAAAGTTATTATGTGACTTTTTACTATATTTTTATAATTAACTTATATAGTTCAGCGATAGATTTGACTTTTTTCTTTTAGCGACTGAACTTGTCAATTGCTAAGTAGCCACCGATTCCAACTCAATCGCTAAAGTTGAAGTGTCTCAATGACGAAGCTTATCATGATCAATTCATTAAATCTCTACTTTGATCGCTAAGGAGAATAGTGACGGAAAACGCCAGTCTGCTAAATATTTTGTTTTTTATTTTTTTATTTATACTAATAGTAACTTAAAATATTTTCAAGACTAATACATTATTTTTGTTTCTATCCTCATCCAAAGTTTTGACTTTTAGGATCAAAATAAAATTTGACAGTGACTGTTTAAATGAGCTTTCAATGAAAGAACTAAATTATTCTAATATGTATGCAAAATATACTAAATATGTAATCTTACTACTATTTTTATTAAAATGTTTTGTCATAGGTTATATGTTTATTTATGAAGTGTTAGGTCTATACTAATTTCATTAGGTTTTTTTAAGGAGGTAAAGTACAAAATAGATGCAAAACTATTTTTCATAATATTTTTTAAAATAACTGATAAGATTACACATAAATTATTTTATTACAACTCTTATAAACACTTATTTAGATTACATAGTCTTCTAATGAAAATAATAACAAATAATATAACATATCGTAATAAAATTTACTATCAAATAATTTAAATTAATAATAATGTCCAGAGGAAGCTAAAAGAACTACACAGTACACATCATTCTGTGCTAAGAATCTTGAATCTTGACATTAACACTATAAAAAATTCTGACTTTTTAAGAAAACAATTAATCGGAATTGAAAAGTGTCAATTAAGTAGTTCTTCCCCTTAATGAATCTGTAATTCAAATTCTAATATTCAGGCTGCGTAGGCACAAAGGTTTTCAAACCCCATGTAATCTTTATTTTCAATTTTTTGGATCATGTTTGCTATGCCCACACCACCTGCAATGAAAACCGAATAAAAAATGAGGCAATCTTAATCAAGTATATTGCAAATCTTAATCATAACCAAATTAGTTCTCCTAAATCAATAATGACACTTGCCTAGTGATATTGCACTGACAAAAATGGTCCCTGATAAGATGAAAATGATCAATGATGCTCTCCCTAGTAAGGCAACCAGCTTTCTCACAAAAAATTGCCCTACAACGGCCGCAATTGTTGATACAGCCACGAAGTAAAGAGCTGCAACAATAATCAGAAAGTGAGAATAACATTTTTTGAAATGATCTAAAGACATAATAAGATTTGAGGAATGTTAACACTCTCATTACTTTAGTTGAAGTTTATTGAAAATCACAAGTTTTGATAAACTTCACATCTCATTTAATAAGTCTTTATTAATTTATTATGACAACCACCAAAATATATAGTTTCTAATAAATTTTGACCAATAGTAGAGTGTCACAAAGATAGTATTAAAGAGAGTGAGAGTAAGATTGTTAGTTGTATTCCCTTCATGCATACTTACTGTAAGGAATGGGAAACCGTTTTAGAAGGTAATATTCGATGACTGACATAGATGCAGAAAATGTCATGGCAAAAGTGGCTGTAGCACTTGACACCTACATAGAAAATTGGCAGTCGCAAATTGAGTAAAAGGGAGCAACACAAATCACAATGAAGCAAAGTCCAATGTACCTGAGGAGGGATTCCTAGCTCGAGAAAAAGGGGTCCCAAAATAAAACCTCCACCGAGACCAAGCAAGCCACCAACCACACCAGCGCATATGCCACATGCAGAATACATAACTAACTGGTGCGGTCGCCAATTTGTTTGTTGATCTCCTTTCGATGCTATCACTCTCTTCCCTTTGTACAGAAGCACAGCCTGATATGAAGTCGCTCCTAATGCCACAGGGACCTACAAACAAACCATAAAAACATGCATCATGGTTTTGTAACATGCATGCATGATGATAATTCCATGCAAGTTGGAGCCAAATATGCCACTGAACAAGTGAATATATTCATGTACCTGTAATAGATTAAGTATCCAATATGCCACTGAACAAGTTGTAGTCTGATTCTGTTTGAAATCAAAGGCAGAATAATGTTATCACTGTTCCACGTAGACATGTATGAATGCAAGAAAGAAAAGGAAAATGGAAGTTAATTCTGGATTGAAAATGCAGGTCTACCAACTTTTGCAATCTCGCAGGAAAGTATAAGGATCCAGACAGTGAAAAGAACTCCAAGTGCTTTCCAACGAATATTATCAAGAACAGATCCCTGCATGGAAGTGACGCGTGTCATTGCCACGAAGAATAGAATTGACATTAGGATTTGTGAAAGTAGAAGCTGCTACTATCACACTCTCACCTTTGCCTTGGATATTTTGGGCCCTGTGTGATTGGTTGTGTTTGGGCCTCCAGGAAGAGGCTCATATGCGACCTCTTCAGTCCTTCCAGTGCCTAATTAGTGTGAGAAATGACATGAGTTTTGGAAACCACGCACATGAAATAATTAAACACTGCTAGCTACAAAGCTAAAATATAATTTTTAACACTTACCATTTAATTGTGACTGTCTAGCAGCTTCCTGAAATTATAACATTGGATGCATTAAAAGGGACTGACAAAACACAAATTTATTAGTAATTCCATATAAAAGATTTCCAAAAATTTAAGCACATGCACCTTCTTAATAATCGTTTCTTTTTTCCATGTCTCAACCCCCTTTAAGTATGCCTTGGTTGCAATTCCTGTTTTATACACCCACATAATATAAGGATTGGTGTGGAAAGAAAATAAAATAAGAAAAGATTGAGTTGCTAACAGTTCTTGCCTATGAAAATTATGAGTAACAAGACTGTTATCATCCAATCAGCAAAAATGACATTGAAGGCAACTCCAATGCTGATTCCAAGCACGAGCACTGGTTGGAAAAGAAGTGCCAAGTCGTAGTCTATGACTGGCATGTCAAGTGTTGGATGTTTTTGCTTCAAATTGTAGAAAACAGTCGATGCTGCTCCACCCGTAATCATACCTTTTATCAAACCAAGACCTCTCAGATTTCACATAAAAATTTCTAACCAATATCCTAAACCAAAGCTAGCTATATCTTGATACTTTTATAAGTAATGAGCACCAAACATGACTTTTAGCACTATGGTAACAAGCTGATTAATCTACTATTTTAGTACATAATTATCCATATTAATTTACTAAGTGAAATAAATTATCATATTAGTTACTTTTTAGCTTTAAGCTTATTTTATTATTTCTTATTTTTTTCTATAAGTATTCATGCAAAAGTTTAAATAAACATACACTACAAAAAAATTATCGTATAATGACACACATTCTATAGTAACATAATGTGTCACTAATAATTATTTTTATCCACACAATAAATATAATATATGTTGATATATTGTTAAAAAGTGTAGATATATCTTTTAGTGACATACAAAATATGTTGTTAAATTTCATTTAAAATCTACTAAAATTGTGTGTAACTATATATCAAATAAATATATATCTACATATATTGTATCTATAGTGATATTTTTTGCATGTCATTGTATGTAACATTTATTGTAGTAATAACTTATACCATTATTGAGGAAAAGAATATATTAATAGATTTTTGCCACTCATATGTAACACTTTTATTATTCAGGAAAAAAATATATTAATAGATTTTTACCACTCATATGTAACACTTTTATTACAATATGCACCACAAATAAATTTATCTTTTTTGGAGAAAATATTTCCATTTTTACACTGAATTATTGTGAGTAATCCATGCGGTATATGACATGCGGGGTACCACTTAACAATATTTAATTAAAATTATCACGTAACCATGATATAATAATGATCACTTTTAAAATGTAACCATGATATATAATTTTATTCAGGACTTTGGTTTGATCCTACAAGGTGTTTGCTGGTGTCATACATTTGATTTTATCCTCTCGTGTAATCGGTTGAAAAAATAGGATAAATAAAGATTAATATTATTTATTTGTAAGTGTAAAAATAAGTATCAAATATAGAATAATATATTCATAAAAAAATATAGAATAATAAATTTACTTTAATTGGTATTTATAGAACACTTGATATCAAAGACCAGAAATATTTTTATCAGAACTGCAGGATTGGTCTACTGATATAATTTGGCTAGTATATACTAGATTTTAAATTTTAAATCTTAATCTTATTATTATCATTCTACACATAAAATTTACACAGAAAAAGTTTTAATTAATGTTATTGATTATCTAGGTTCATCTTTGTTGTGTCCATATAATTTTTCCTATAGATTAAAAAATTACAAACAAAAAGTTGATTGAAATTTGAAATAACTGGCCATAATTTTTTTCCTTTCTATTTGTTATGGTTATGGGATTTTTTTTCCCACCGGAAGCAGGGTTTTATAATCAACATTCAAATATTTTCTATGGTTTTGAAATCTTTCATGTTTCGTGCTATTAGATTATTCTTAAAGATTCTCCCAAAAAATAAAAATTAGGCAAATGGATATAGATAGTCAGTTTCTCAGAAAACAAATATAAGTTGACAATCATATATTTTAATACTAAACATTTTATTTATTAACACATAGATAGTCATTATCATAAGGCAAATAAAAGTTGTCAATCATATATTATACTTAAATACAACTTATTTATCAAACGCAACAAGTTTCTTACCATATGTCATTTGAAATCGAATAGGAGAAGCCTTAGCAGTGTTTCATGCCTTTTCATTTTTATTAATATATTCGGGACATTGCTTTTATTTTATTTTTATTATTATTAGTGGCAAACTGGCAACGAGAGACTTTATATAAATTATTTAAATAAATAAAAAGAGAGAAAAATTAAGCTAAAATTATCTACTAAAAATGTGTAAACAAAAAAAAAAGAAAGAAGATAAACGCGTCTAATTAATAGAAGTACTATTATAGAAATTATTGTTAGGTTGTTTGAAAGAGATATTTTTATTAAGTGGAAAGTTATATTTTGTATGATTTTTTTTATCGGTTATTTATACATAGTTCTACAATAATAAAATATTACCTAATTTAAATTTTATTTTTAATAATTTTATTTTTATTCATCACTTAAAAAATTTCTAATTATGTGTGTATATTATAAAATCTTATTTCTTCACTTTGATGTTATTATTAGAGTTATGTTTTTATAGTTGTTTGAGAGTGATATATTATTATCAAGAGGAGGTCATAATTTGTAAGATATTGTAAAATTTGAATTTTCATCTTCAAGATTTTTCTTTTGATCATTATTAAAAAAATTCTAATTAATAAAATATATATATTTTATAAACATTTATTTCTATAAATATAAAGTTAGTAAAGAATAATAAATTTATAAAAATAAAATAAATGAATATTCTGTTAATAATAATATTAATAATATTCCAATATTAACCTGACAAAAAAACAATAAAAGTATTGTTAATCAGCTTCATAAGAATGTTAGTTAAGAAATTAATATATTAAAAATTATTAAAATTTTAATAAAAAAATATTGTTGATTTTTAAAATTGAAAAAATATAATGCAAGGATGTTCGTCTAGTAAGTACACCATGATGAGAAGTGAGGAGGACAATGACAAACAAATACGGTCGGCTACAGGAAAACCTCATGAGTCATGAAGCACGAGATCAGCTTATAATAATGACATTAAAAGGACATTAAGGGTGGGTTCCAATATTGGTTGGATTCATACCTAAACAAGAAAGTTAGGAAAAGTGAAGAAGAAAGAAATAATAAATGCAATAATAATATTAATATAAATAACTATTAATTTAATTTTTTAGGTATTATTCTCTTTGTTAAATAATCTTTAAATTAATTAGATTATATAATAGTAATATTTAAATAAATAAATATGAAATTCACAATTTTCATTTTTTATAATATAAAAGTTACAATTTTGATCATCCAATTTTTAATTATATAATTATAATTCTTCACTTTTATAAAATTTGTAATTTTGATCAATTATTTATTTTCATTCAGTAATTAATAAAATCAAAACGTTGTTCATAATATAATATTAAATAAATAATATGATGATTAATATTTAAAAATATTCTTCCTAAATTCCATTTTTATCTTATACAAATGATAATGATATATGATAAAAATGAGAAAAAAATAAATTAAAAATATAATTTAATCTAAATTTTATTAAATATTAATTATCATGTTATTTATTAAATATCAAGTCATAATCAATATTATATTTTTAATCATCAAAGAATAAAATTTCAACAAGAATCAAAATTACAAGTTGTATGAGATTAAAAGATTAAAATTCTGAAATTAAAAATAAAGGAATTAAAATTGTGAATTTTATATTATGAAAAAAATATAATTTAATCTTACTTTTAATTATTTAAGGAGTGTTTGAAAAAAGAAAGAGTAATATTTCACTAATTAAATCGATGTTTTTTTTTAAAACTTTTTTTTAAAGAAAAATTATATGTTAAATATTTTTATATTATAATAAAAAGTTATATTTCATTCTGAGGATATGTTGGTCCTGTGCCAACCATCTCATAATTAAGCTGTCCTACCAATTCCGGAAATACGATAACTCATGCATAGCCGACCAATGATAGATTCTCTAAATCGCTATACCAATTATTCTCCGAAACTTTAAAATATTAATATTTTTTAACAAATTTATTATAAAATAATTATTCAATTTAATATTTTATAATTTAAATTAAAATTTTATTATAAATTTTGGTACATTTATTTAGTTTATTTTGGTACAAAAGTTATTGAACAGGGTAAAATTGGGAAATTTGCAGGCTGCTTTTGTTTTTTTTTCTCTCTCTTTTTCTGAAAACAAGTTGATAAAAAAAATAAAAAAAAATCAGCTGCAATAATCTGTTCAACAGAGGCATACACACACACACAACACAAATCTGTAATGCTTACACTTAGATATGGCTGTAGCCGATTTTGCGTCAAATCCGATAATGAGAGAAAGCATGGTGACAAAAATGCCACCCCCTCCAACACCACCCACCGTCCCGAATGCAGATCCTAGGAATCCAATTATGGATCCCGTTACTATTCTCCACCCAAATTTCATTTCCTGTAAATCCAACCACCCATTATCATACACATGTTTCAAGTAATTTTAAGATATTTCAAACATGCACCAACTTCCAAATTTCTCCATGTAATTTAAAAGCTAATAATGATAAGTAATTCACCCCTTGTCCATTTGAGTCTTCAAATATGCTATATTGTTCAATGACATTAACAAAATAAAGAGAGAGAGAGAGAGAGAAGAGGAGTTGTATATGAAATTGATGAGAGAAGAGAGTTACCGGCCAAGTATGCTCGTATGTAGAACCAGATGAGTTCCACAAAAAGCCCTTAACTTTAGCAAGAAAACTGGTTTGGGTTGCCCCAACGGCGGTGGGATAAATGTTTGTTTGGTTAAAGTGTTGATGAGCAGAAGCAGAGGCTGAGAATAAAACAAGAGTAATTGCCAAAGCCATTCCAACTAATCTCTCGCTCCACCGTTGTGATGATCCATTATTCACAGCCATGATCATGAGTGAGGAAAAGAATCGAATAAACCCAAAGTTTAGTATGACTACGATAGTTGTGCTAACTGCAGGGATGAATTATGAACATATGTGGGCACGCAGGTTAAAGGAATGATAAAAACTAATAAAATGAGGCCAAGCTCCGAGAAGTGAAAAGTAATAATTGTTCGCACCACTTTCTCCCGAGCTCTGCTACGTCATTATTAGGGATAGCAGACATACCTGCATTCATAAATATTTACCAATACAAATAATAAATAAATAGGTTAATTAGATATTTTTAAATAATAAAGACGGATTATTTTTTATTCATAAGAATAAACAATATGATGATATTCATACTCGCAAGTACCCATTTAATAATATTTTTAAAAGTATATTTTTTCATTTTTGTAATATGAGATATTCACGTGCAGACATACCTGCATTCATAAATATTTACCAATACAAATAATAAATAAATAGGTTAATTAGATATTTTTAAATAATAAAGACGGATTATTTTTTATTCATAAGAATAAACAATATGATGATATTCATACTCGCAAGTACCCATTTAATAATATTTTTAAAAGTATATTTTTTCATTTTTGTAATATGAGATATTCACGTCTTTATCGATTATCATTATGCATTGGAAATTAACCTTTTTTTTATCATTTGTAAATCAAATTTAAAGATGTATTATATGTTATCGTATTTTAGCTACATATGCAAAATGTGGTAATACAAATTTATTTAAAATTTTAAAATATTTTGTTTGACAAAATTATTTGTAATATAATTTTTTAAATTTTTTAAAAATTTATAAATATTTATGAATATCTACTTGTTTAAAAAATTTGTAAATATTTGCTTAATAGATACATACATAAATATATATAAGGTAGATATGAGATTAATTTTTATGCAGCAAGGAACGAATTTACTATTTCCAACTCTTATTACCTTTCTATTCGCTCTATTTCTTTCTTTCTTTCTTTCTTATATCACGCATCTCACTATCTCAGTATTGCCTCGCTGGCTCCCATTTTCGACCTGCCAATTCAATCCTTAAAAAACGTGTTCATATATTAATGGATAATGTACAACTACTTGTGTTGTTGACATTCAAACTAATGTGAAATACATGACAAATAAAAGTATAAGATATAATTTTCCTCTTTATATATATATATATATATATATATATATATATTATTTTATTTTTTTATTTAAAGACAAAATTATCATCATATAATGATATTGATATTAAAATCGTTGGCTAAATTCCATGACAATCAATTATTTATACATACAAATAATATTAAAAATATAATAGAAAAATAGATATTATTAAATGAGAAATTAGATTATTTGTTTGAAAAGAAAATTGTTGAGATATACATATACTTTATTAGTTATAGATCCTTTTTTTTGTAATACAAAGTAAAAGAAACAAAGGAAAACAAAAGAAAAAAAAGAGTTGAACAATTAGTCTCTCAGGAACAGAGTCCCTGCTATATCTGCTTGGATAAAAGTCTTCAGCCCAGCAGGCATGTCAACTAGAACCACCAACTCCAACCCACAATTTAGACCTAGTTTGGAGAGAAAGTCAGCACATTGGTTCCCTTCTCGCAATGAATGGCAACTCCAATCACCAACTCCAGTCACGGTGGAAAAATTCTCGAATCTTTGCAATAGTCACTGCATACCTGTGAAAGGGATCTAATGGTCCCAAGATCAAATGCACAACATTAAGAGAGTCAGAGACACACATGATATTGCTAAAATTCTGTTGTCACGCCAACTCCAAGCCCTTTAAGATGGCCGTTAGTTCCACTCTTAATTTATCAGCCACCCCAACATCTCATAGAAACCCATGAGCCAACGTCCACTACTATCTCTACAAAGGCCACCATAGCCAGCAGGCCCTGGGCAACCCCGGGCACTACCATCTACATGTACTGCAATCTGGTCCAAGCTCGCTGAAAGACAAGAAACTAAACGAGTCTCCCGTAGAGGGGCTTCAACGTGAAAGACACGTTTAATCACGCCATATAATGTCCAAATTCGTGACAGCACAATATGAGTGGTGTAACACCCTGAGTTTTCTTGTTGATTATTATTTATTAATTAAAGGGGTTTTATGGAGGTTTGTATTAATTTAAAATTATTTATGAAAATTTTTATAAATTCTATTTTTTAGGCTAGAACGGGTTGTTCCAAAAGTGGAACGGGCCGTTCCAAAGAAGAAAAGGACCCATTTTTGTATTTCCAGAACGGGTCGTTCCCAAAGGGAAACGGACCGTTCCAAGGTTATGAAATTGCCTAAAAACCTTAGCTGGAAACGGGACATTCCAACTATAGTCAATCAGTGTTAACGTGAACTTCAGAACGGGTTGTTCTGCTTTTTGAAACGGGTCGTTCTGCTTTATGGGAACGGGCCGTTCCGATTTTGGAACGGGCCATTCCAGTTGCTAAATTTGCCTATGTTCGAAGGATCCGGAACGGGCCGTTCCGAATCCAATACGGGCCGTTCCGGGGACCCAGGATGCCTATAAATAGGGGCAAGGGGGGTGAAAATTTTATACTGAGTGAGAAGGTGAAATTTTAGAGAGAGAAAGAGGAGAGAGAGAGAGAGAGAGAGAGAGAGAGAAAGTAAGAAAGAAAGAGAGGGAAGGAGAGAGAGAATCCAGAGGAGGAAGCCCTGCTCAAGTTTCAACTCCGCTTATTCAGGTAAGGGGGGAGTGAGAAACCTCGCTCGGGGTGTGGGGATAATTGTTGGATAGTATGATTGTCGGATTGGCCCCCAATCCCTTGCCGTTATTCTGTTTGATTTTCTATTTACTCTACTTTGTTCTTTGTTGAAGGTGTCGTTGTTCTGTTTGATTTTCTATTTACTCTACTTTGTTCTTAGTTGAAGGTGTCGTTGTTCTTCTATTTACTCTACCTTGTTCTTTGTTGAAGTAATAAATGAATATGAAATTAACGTTAAAAATGAATAAGTTTTAATATGAATAAGAATGTCCTTTGTGAATTCCTATGCGGACCTTATGAGGAGTATTTATGACATGACCATGTGAAATATGGAAAAATGACATGAGACCTAAGAATGGACTATTGAGACAAACTATGATTATGAGACTATGACAAATGAGGACATGATGTACTAAATGAAATTATGTAACAAGTTAAATGTTGAGTCAATGAGATTATGAATGTATGACATGCATCATATGCATATATTACTCCAGGTGTGCCGCTGAGGCCGCATACTCACGATGCTAACAAGGTGTACCTTAGGGTCACCCACGACTAACAAGGTGTACCTTAGGGTCACCCACGATGTAACATGCTAGCCAGGTGTACCTTAGAGTCACCAGTGATGATATGTGAAACTTCTTTATGGCGCCACATGCATGCATTTATGAGTCGAGTCCATTACATCATAGCATGATAAATAAGTATATATGTGATATTGATTATTTATGTGTATTGTTTATAGGTGACTTATATTTGTTGTGCGTGTGTGTGCTATCTAACCTTTATTTCTTCACCTGAAACTGAGTGAGATGTTTCTCACTCCCTTGTTGCTTTTGTATGTGTTTAAATTATGTTGCAGGCGATCAGCATCTTGAGGATGTGGTTGATGAGGCTTAAGGCTTCAGTTGGGCATGCTCTGATAGGATGTGACATCGGGGCATAGCTAGCTTAGTTTAATATGTTATTGTTTTAATAACTTTAGTTTCTCGTCTTTTGTAATTTCTAACGAAGAGATAACGTAGATAAAGTTTATAATCCAATAAAAGACTTAAATGTACATCTTTGTTATATTTTTATTACATGATTTGGAAGTTATAAATTAATCCCTAACCAGGAGGCACTGCCACCTATACTGAAGTTAATTTATATTTCCTTTATTATTATTTGTATATATTTGTATATATATATATATATGATTTCTTATTTTTCACTAAATTGTATTGAAAATCTTAACTTCTTTTCTTTTATAATTTCTACATTGGAGTGATGATTTATGAGTTAGGAATGTGAATCTTCTACCTTGTGATATTTGAGACATTTGTCAACTACGAAAGATTTTATTTACTCAAAAAGAAAAGAAAAAATTATTTACATTTATTGTATATTAATGTTGGGGTAGAAGGGTGTCACAAGTGGGGATCCTTCGATTTTAAAACACAGTAGAATTTCGAGCCAACCAAATCTCCCATAACGCCACCAAACCTAATGGGCCCCAAGAGGAGAAACACTCATACAACCAATCATGCCATACCAAAGATGTTCGAGAGAGAGAATTATGGCTAAGACCCAACCTATTCCATATTGTCACCGCCTTATCACACTCCAAAAATATGTGGAAAGTATCTTAACGACTCCTACCACAACCCAAGCACCAAGAATCTTGGCCCATATGTCTAGACATAAGCCACTGTTGCGATGGAAGGCTATTCTGTGCCAGTTGCCAAAGAAAAAGTTTCAAGTTCTCAGGTACCTTAGCCGCCATAACCACATCCACGAAGTTCCACAACACCTTCCCGCACGTTCCAAGAGTCATAAGTATCCTGCTCGACCAGAGTATTGACCAGAAATGTTCGCCCCCACACCATCACGTCCGGCAATGAAGGGTGAAGAGTTACATGGTATTCTTGAACTTTATTACGCAATCCCTCCGATATGGGAGTGTAAAGTTGTTGTAATTGCCACTGATTTCCTCGCACAACGTCACACACTTGAAGTTCAACATCCTGATAATGAACATATGGCACCTCTAAGCATAAAAGCGAGTCAGCTAACCAATGATCATACCAAAAGAGAACTTCACCTCTTCCAAGTTGTAGACGGAAACCTTCTTTTAATGATTCATATGTCTTGCAAAGAGAAGTCCAAAAGTATGACCCCTTCACCTGCAACTTGTCACATAAGGACCTCCTAGGGTACTTATTTTGTACCAACTTGACCCATAACTTCTCATTGTTATTGTAAAAATTCCATATTAACTTTCCAAGTAATGTTGTATTATGAAAACGGGCGATACGCACTCCCAAACCTCCAAACTTACGAAGCCTTGTGATTATGTCCCAATTGACCAAATGAAGTCCTTTTTGCGTGGTACCACTCCAAATAAAACTCCTCATCATCTGATCTAGAGTATCACAAGTCTGTTGTGGTATCCATTGCACC